ACTGTAGGTTATTTCAGTGTCATTTGAAAGTTTCGATCAAACATTAACATTCCCTTTTTTTTTTTTTACATTACATCCACAAACTTCAATGTATCATATCAGGATTGTCTGTGTGGCACATCTGGAAAAGCATGCAATATGCATTAATAAGAATGTGCAAAAAAAATACTTGAGAAAAAAGAATAAATAAAAATATCCTCAAGTGATAGTTTGTCAGGTTTAAAGTAACTGCTAAGAAAACATTATTATTTTTATCTTAAGAGCATGATTTGATTGAAATGGTGGAATTTAGCTGAAAACAACATAATAGAGTTTGGTCATCAATTTACTGTATTATCTTAAAACCTTCCAAAATCCTTTTCAGTTCCCTATAAACAAGCATTACCAGACATTGCCTGCATGTAGAAACTGTCTGCTTACAGCATGGTGCCTGTATACCTGCTAATTGTGTGTAGCTGTTAAGTACAGCAATATAACTGTGATCCATTTGCATTATTTTGTGCAGCAATGTGATAAATTAAAACAAATTGTCTAACTGTGAAACAGTCACACCTATTTTAACAAACACATCTGTAAATAGAGGCGTGCATTTGTATTCAGACTCCCTGAACCAACACTTTGTAGAGCCTATTGCAGCTGCAAGTCTTTGGGCTATGAAACTATCAGCTTTAAACATCTAGATGCTAAAATCTTTGCCTTTTCTCTGAAAGATCTCTCAAGCTAGATATGATATATGAGAAATAACTTTCAAGTCTTGCCACTGATTTACAGATTTGGGCCTAGGGCCTTTCAATAGCCTGAATTATTTCATAAAACTGGCAGTTTAGGGTTTTAGATATTTAAGATCACTGCCCTGCTGGAAGGTGAACATCTAACTCAGTCACAGCTCTCCTGCAGCCTTTAATATGTTTTCCTTCAGGATCACTTTGTAATTATTTACGTCCATCTCCCCATGAACTCTAAGGCAGCTTCATTATCCCTACTGATGCCCAAAGCTCGATGAAATAACCAAATGCAAACTGCATATAACAGTTCATAGAAATTCCTCCTTACAACGGTTTTCCTTGTGTCAACCTTCCATCTGATTTCATGTCTTCTGGGCAGCAAACTCTTCAGTCAATAGGCTGCTTCACATGAAACAAGTGGGGTTTTTGAAGACTTTATCTATTATATATTCTTATTGAGTATCTAATATTAACTCAAGGTCAGATCATAAACAACATTTACTGTAACTAGGCTGAGGATACAGCACTCCTCCATATTTTCACCAGGTGACAAAAAATCGATATAAGCAGTGGAAAAATGTGTCAAAATATAAATGCATTGATGTACTGACAATTTTCTGAAGCTGAAACAAAAATAATATTTTGAGCCAAAAGTAGATCACATTAAAAGTTAGTACACAGATTAAATTGATCCAGCTTGAAACCAACCAGGCTCTAAATCTGGGTGTAGTGATCAAACTCAGACCTGAACCTTCAGAGGCACAAAAAGACAATAACAAATTTGGTTAAAAATAATAAATGTGTTTTTAGTAGAGTTGATTACTGCAATCTTTTACTGGTCTGCCTAAAAAGTCAATCAGTAGCAGTTGCTGTGGAATGTTGCTGCCAGCATCCTCACTAACACGAATAAAGTGGAGCACACACCCCAGTTCAAAAATCCTTAAACTGGTTCCCTGTTTTCCAGAGAATAGACTTTAACATACTTCTGTCAGTCTATTGAGCTCCAAACCTCCAAACACCAGACGTCATTTAGACGGTGGTGTTAAGGCTAAATCTGGTCTGTCTGTCATAGACTTAATGTAGTCAAGATATAGTTTTTGAAAATTGGACTATTGGTCGGTCTGATATTGTCCCACTTTAGTCTAATAATAGATGTTGAAAAGAAACTTTAACATACTTCTGTCAGTCTATTGAGCTCTAAACCTCCAAACACCAGACGTCATATAGACATTGGTGTTTAGGCTAAATCTGGTCTGTCTGTCATAGACTTAATGTAGTCAAGATATAGTTTTTGAAAATTGGACTATTGGTCGGTCTGATATTGTCCCACTTTA